AAACTCAAAAAAGTGAACAACTTTGGCCTCAAATTTTCTCCAGAATAATTGAAAAAATAAATATAGAAGAGTGATGGTAATGAGATATGGGTTGTGTGTTGGTTTTTGTCTTGAAACGCCAAGAGATCAAAAATCGGCGCTTTTCTTTGTTATCTTCACTTCTGTGAGTCTCTCTCCTCCCCTCTCAGAGCCTCTGTTTTTCTTTTGCTTTTTCACCCTCCTTTGATTTGTTTTTGTTGCACTCCTCCAATCACCGATCTCTACTCTCTATGTCACACACTTACCACTGTACAAGTCGAAAATGATTTTGACCGTCGGATGTCGAATGGTCATATGCGTTTCCCTCCAACTGCCTGACCTTTTAACCCCCTCGTCACCCTACGGAAAGAAAAGTACTTGGGTTTAATAGGTTACCGTCACCATGTCGTCTCAGTATAATATGTTACGACGTGAAGATAATATAACTTTTATAATTGCAAATTTGATACATAATTATTGAAGAAAAACTTACATGGCAGAATGTTGTCTTGTTCCAACGAAATAAATAACATATGAACAAATACTTTCATATGTTTTCATTTTATTACCATAAAACACCACCGTGTTGGTGAACTCGTGTCATACCATGTAACTTGCAAAGGTTTATGAGGGTTGTACTATCTCTTGCCTATTAATAAAGCATTATGTGAAGGAAAATACGGAATCTCCCTTTTACAAATGAAAGTAAATAACATGAGTATCGAACTATTAATTTGATTTTGTGCCCAAGAGACTTTTAGGTCGTGCACAATTTTCCATTAATTCTATCACATGCAATTCGCAACTTTTCCAGGCATATGCATTATTAAAATGCTGCAATCACAAAAAAGAATAATAAATACTTGAAATTTTGATAATTGTTGTGATAAAAAATTAAAGAGAAAATGAGAATTACACATTTTTTTACAAGGGTAATGCTATGAAAGTTAAATTTGTAGATAAAATTTACAAACTAAATTATTTCTCAATAATATGAATAAGCACGTTTATCAACGCTTCAGTAATAATTCAATCATCAACTTCCATATCATTTAGTTTACAAAATCTACAAATTTAGTCATCCTAGCATTATCCATTCCACAAATTCAATTAGATTGACAAAAGAAGTTGATTAGGTATTTAAGTGCTGGGCTTATGTTTTGGGTTGTTTCCCTTTATTTTTTTTGGACTAGCAAATCTCTAGCTAGGGTTCCTTCTTTAATTTGTTGGTAATTTCTTTCAGATTTAGGGTTTTTATTTAAGAAGCACTCATCACTCTATTGCAAAATTCTCCACACTGCCACACTTGTCTACAAAGTACAAAAGTGTCTGTAAGTAGTGGGGGCATGGCAAAGCGGAAGATAGGAGACAATTCTACAACAAGTACAATGGTGTTGAACTTATCGAACAACAACAGATAGCAAGTTCATCAACACAATACGATGAACTCCCGCCCAATAATATTCCTTCTGCAAAACACTTCTCTCACAAAGGGTTTCGTCCATAAGGTACACACTTCCAAAAACAAAAACAAAAACAAAAAAAGATAAAGATTTCTTTAATTTGATATATATGCAAATGCTTGAAAGAAGTTAGTTACCCTTAATTCAACATAGACGTAATATTTAACGTTTCTTATGTTTCAGAGGTAGAAGATTTTAGATTTAACGTTTCTTATGTTTCAGAGGTGGAAGATTCTGGAATTGGATGACGACCGTGACTTTCTCCTCAAGCAGAACAAGATGATTTTAGGCCTGCAATAGTTTACCAGGTTTGTGATACGTTGGTGTGTAAGAAATTAATTATATTCTTAGACATCATAGCTCTTAGTTTCAACCTAGCTCCAACAATATATTAACATGAATAATTTTTCAAGTTTTTTTTAGTTGAAAGATTAATCCCAACTCTAAGTTATAACTCAAACAGTGAATTCAGGTTTTGGATTGAGATTAACATACAGCTTGCTACCGTATGCTACCTAAATTTTAATGTTTTAATTTTTTAGGAAATAGAAATCTTAACATTGGATCATATGCAGTCTTACTAAGATCTTGTGTGTATTAATTCATGCTTAGGGAGTCGCTAATGGCAACTACAATCCTCCCTTGTGAAAATTAGGAGGGAGGAGCGTTGAAAGACCAATTTAGAGGACACTATTAACAGTCCTTTTCTGATATATTCGATCATCCTACATTGCTGTCTCTTCAAAGTACTTCTTGACTGATTATGAGGAACTTATTAATTGATTTGTCGTTTGATTCTTCAGTTTCTCAAGTGGAGTTGCTCACAAAGAAATGTATACGCACCGAAGATACAAATGAGGTACTTATGCACGTCATCGAGGAACCTGTAACTCGACATTTACCTGTCAAGTTATTACTGATTATAATTGGGATATATGTAGGTCTCTCCGACTGTTTAGAGAAGTAAGTTGACATAGATAAGTATGTTATTTTTGATGGCGCCGATGATCAAGATCTTGTTTTTGTTGTATACCTAAGAATCTGAATTGCTTATTAGCTTAGGACTGCAGAACTTGCTGCTTTATTTATTTTAAAATAATGGAATCACCATGACTACTACGTATTTATGCTCGATCAGGTGGGTGTAATTAATGACCCATGAAAAATCAGTAAGGAGTACGCAGATGATTTTATATCAGGTAATTCACACTTAAATTAGGTTGTATCTTAAAGTAAATCGTATTTACCTTTTGTTCTATGTAGTCTCGCATTCACCAAAAAAGTGTCTTGTTTAACTTGCTGATGTGCAGTGTCGAATTATCAAATGGGAAGGGAAAGACAGCATAGCATTGATTTGCGAGGCAATGGAGTGGACGATCGGTATCTATCTTAGGTTTATAAATAATTATAACTTTCCATTTGATCCCAATGTCGTCAACAAAGTACGAGTCACCAACCGAAGAAAGAAAACGAGGCATATAGGTAAGAAACTCAAAAGAATAGGCAAATGGAAATGGTTGGATGGTTTGTGCCATATAGCTAGTCCCATTCCATTATGAAGATGTGAGTTAAGGTCAGTTTGGGCTAGGGTGGTATGATTTTGCCCGTTTGTGCTCAAATTTGAACCACTTTCTCGTAAGCTAAAGTAGTTTAAAATATCACTATGTCACAAAATAACAAACCCATTCAATTTCATGTACGATTTCATTCTACAGCTATGCATGTCTTTCCCACACTTCATGCTTCGCAAGTCACATACTGGTATATTAGTGGGTTTTATGATTCTCTAGCCAATATGGCTGCCATATTCATGATTTGTGAATACAAAAAAAAAATTGTTATATTTTTCTTAATTTATAATCATTCATGAAATTTAAACTCAGAATTTCTTTAAACATAGTAAAGATTAAGTACTGCTTTTCTTTACTTAGACGTGACATGAATAATGAAATACTAGGAAGATGCGTAAAAAGAGTAACAAAACCGTCTTATTCTCATTTATTATAGATTGGCCCAGTTAATTTGTTTGATTCCAAAAACATCCTTTCAGTTTCAAAGCATGTAGCCTAGATTTGCCTTGTGCAAAAGAGTTGGAGTTTAGCTAGCACCTATGGAAAAGAATGGTTCGTGATAATATGATCACCATTTTTAATTTTGGGGACTCAAAACTTTAATTTACATATTTTAATGTTAATTAGATTGTCTTTACGATAGAACATGTAAGGATTTGTTAAAATTAAGAATGAAGATTTTCCTCCGATATTCAGTCTTAAATAATTAGATCAAATTTCCATGTTTGATTTGACCCACATTTGGTTCAGTTGAAAACTGTATAGATACAGAATGAAGCTGATATGGACAACACACCAACCCAGCTGGTAAGCTTAGGTGACCCATCTAGTTTCCAAGTTTCCAAGCCAGCTTTCCCATTACTATTGTCCATTGCAGAGACCACAAGCAGTTCCGATTTCCCTTTCATCTGGATTTTAAGCTAAAGTTTTAAGGAGCGAGATTGTGGATGTCACAACCCAAATTGTAACTTCGAGTCTTCAAGGACTTTTACCTCCCACCCCATGTATATATGTCCTGTCCATTTTAGATCCTTCCCTCCTGTGCTCTTACCAAAATATTTCAATAAATCTACAAAATAAAACGCTTATGCACATATATAAAAAATTTAATCTCTTTGTATAGAGAAATGACTCCTTACATGTAAGTTATGTCATTTCTAAATTTTATATAAAAAACACCTACATACTCTAAAATACAATTAAAAGTACAGCTACAAAACCACACTAGTATGTAAATAAAAGCCACAAGTGCATATAATAATCCACTGTAGTACTAGTATTGTTAAACAAACATAACATTATCATACAACCAGCTCATCATCACTTCTCATTTCCTACCAAATCCCATAATACACCCAACAAGAAAACTAGAAAAGCATAATAACATTCACCCAATGAATGATGAATGGTAAACTCAAACTTATGAATGCATGAGCTATCAAGTTAGAACTTATATTGTGTTTACTTATCATATTGAATTCAATTGCTAATATATACATAATCGAAAAAATTTTGATCTCCACGAAACAATTGGTAATCCTTTACTTGAAAAAACTAAGACTAGATTGATAAGAAGAGAGCTGTTCCCATACATGTGCGTTCTTTTTTCAACTTCTAACTTTCTCGATTCATGATTTCATCGATTAAGTAAGTAGACATGCTATAACGAATTTAATCAGCAAAATGAAAGTGAAAAAAACTGTGAACAAACACTATAAAAAAAATTGGCAAAACAATACTTAAAATTCTTTTAGAAGACAGCAAACGTGGGGGGGGACCCTGAGGCAAGGTGACAGTTGTATGACAACAATGCCAAAGCCACCCTGTGAAGTGTCAACTTCATCAACCCCACCCTAACGTTCACTTTGGGAATTTTGGCAGTTCAGCAGCCTTTGAAAATTGAAAAATTGAAAAATTTAATCTTTCTCTCTCCTTTTTCTGAGGATATATAGCATACAACCCACAACCATTGTCCTTACACTTCCTCTACTGCAATATCAGCAATCAAGTTTCTTTCTTCCTCTCCTTTTTTCTATAGTCCAAATTAATTACTTAGTAATCAAGAAATGGAGGCAATGAAGATGAACCTTTTTGTTGCTTTGTTGGTGGTTATGATGGTGGCCTTCTCAGGCATTCAACAAGTAGCTGCAGCTGCAGCTGAAGCTCCAGCTCCAAGCCCAACATCTGATGCCTTCACATTTGCCCCCACTTTCTTTGCTTCTCTGGCAGCTTTGGCTTTTGGCTTATTCTTCTAAGCATGGTTCTTTTGGGGGGAATTTCAGGTTATGTATTGTTGATGGAGTTGTATGTGTGTGAATGATCTTTTCGTTTTGGTGGATTTGTATTATATGATATATAATTAATGTTATAATTTTTTTAGTGGGAATGTGGGGATGGTTCAATTTTAGGCTAATAAAGGGGATCAAGGGTAGGCATTTGATGTCCTTGTATTTTCTCTATCATTTCTATCAGTGATTCATTTGTACTAAAAAAATTTCATTCTTCTATTTTCTTGTAGTTTTCAGATTAATGTCTCATCATTGGATTTAATCTAGGAATTCGTATGATTATGAAACTTTTCTATACTTAAGAAATAACATATGTGGTTTGATTAAAAAAAACATATTTGAGTTGATGGTCCGTTCGTTTGGACAGTGTGTCTTTCGCTTGATTTAGATTTTCCTTCTTGTAGTTTAGACCATCGCATTTTGAAAGCAAAAAACTGAAAGAGAAGAAAGAAACAAAGATAATTAGAAAGAGTGGACCTTGTAAGTTGGCAATTGTGGTGAGAAGATAAGGGTTATGATGAGCAGTAGCTAGCTAAGCTTGGCATGTTCTACTCCAATGGAGTTGTGTGAATTTGGCATGGGTTTGTGGTGCCTCTGCAATAATGCTTAAGGCCATTCCATAGTTGAGTGTTGAACATGCAAGAGGAGAACAAAAATTTACATGCAAATAGGACATCAAGGTGACAGTATTACAAATTTATTATGTATAAGAACGTGTGATTCGTTTGAGATATTATCGACAATTTAGTGTTATGACATTCCAATTACAAGGAAGTCCTCCACGAGGAGGTTTACCAAACAATCAAAACCAAGTGCTTTGATCCTTGCAAGTTTGTGGCTTGTGAGTTTCTGTGCGCTGAGTGTAGGAGGAGGAAGGACTATTCAGAACAGCCAAGGATTGTATTAACTTGGCGGTGGTCCAAATGAAATTCTTCATTGTGTGGGTCATATCCATACAATGCCAGAGAATGAATGAAATGACTTGATGCCTAAAATATCCTATAGTTTTACATGAATTTTCGTATAAATATAATGCAAAACAGAGGGTATTATGGATGAGGGAGTCAAAAACATGATCTCCAAAAACTATTTAGGAACTATGCAACAACTTACATACATCGGGTCGTACATCTCTATCGTTTTTATCACGTGACATAAACGGAGGGACAACTAAATTTTTCACCACAAATTAACCTAGACCTAGACACACATCATCATTCATCTTCAATCAGTTCACATGGATTGAAAAAAATGGCTTCTTTCTTTACAACAACTTCAAATGGAATGGAAAAAAATTAAGTAACGCAGAAAAGAAAATTGTTTACGGTTTAAAAAAAAAACAAAAACAGCGATGAAGTGAACCTGTGAACAAACATCACATGCTTTGTGAGTTCTAAGAAAGGATGGTAGGGTCATATATATACTATGAAAATTGTTTTTTCTAAAGGCAATAATTAAGAACTTCAAAAACTAGAACTCTGAAATAATTAAGTTTCTTAAATTTCTTGTAGGACATTCAAGAGATGTTTTGTTCAGAAAAAAAAAATTGTTATGGTTGTCAGAAATATGTTGGGAACACCGCTGGCATATTACAAGACTGAAAAGAATGGGAGCAAAACCGCGAAGGAAAGTATTCACGTATAGACTTTTACGGGTTTCCAGCTTCAAAATATAAGAAAAATACTTATCAACTCAATAAAACGGAAGAGTGCTTCTAGATAACTTGTCGCATTTATCTTACCGCCCACGTAAAATATTTTGTGAAAATTTAATAATAGCATTTTTCATAAAAAAAACACTACAATGAATAGTTCATGAATTTTAACTCGATTTTGTCCAAAACTGCAAATATCATCATAAAAGTATTTTCGTGGAAGTTTCACCACACCATAAGATTCTTTAAGAGAGTTGCTAGACTCATTTCGTTGTCTTATTTTCCCACCCACATTATATTTACATTCACTATAAAAAGTTAAAAAATTAAAATGTTATTTTCCCACCCACTATTATTCCTAAAATAACCCTTTATATCTAATTAGAGATAAATTTCTCTTAAAAAAAGAATATAAACAAATAATATTACTCTCTTCTAAAAGCCAGAAAAAAAAAAAAAAAAAAAAAAAACCGTTTCCTTTCCAAATTCCAATTGGGGTGGGAATGAAGAATTCTGGGTTTTCATTCTTTGCTTTTCCCCTTTTGTTTTCTTTTTCATACACATTTTCCATTTTTGCCACATATGTTGGAGATTCTATTACTTTGTCACACATTTTTACTTTTTGGGTTCGTTTCAGTTTTTTATTTATTTCAATTACAGGTCAATGCCTTTTTGTATTGTCATAAACTCATTAAAAAACAAATTTAGTAACTTCTAAAGGAAAACTCATTAAAAAACAAATTTACCCTAACCTAATGAAAATGAATTCAATGAATTCTCATAGGAAAATGTGAAACAAATTGCACCCTAATCTAATGCAAATTCAAATAAAAAGTCACAGAGCTATGCTTCAATTGTACGATGTCGACAAATCAAGATGACCCACATAAAATTATCTTTTACCTCTTCGACGAAAACATAATCATCTACTTCTTCCATAGAAACGTCATCTTCTAAGTTCATTCTTTTTGCTTTCTTTGAATGATTTTGCTTTCTCTGAATGAAAGGAGATGGGAATGATGAGTTAGGGTTTAAGGGAGACAAATTTTCTAAACATAGCGTGAGAGTTATCACATCCAAACTTTTCTTTTTTCTTTTTTTATAAAAAAAAAAGTAATGCAAAAGGGAGTAACTAAGGTCCTTATTAGTCATTTTACAAATGGACAAATTTGTATTTAAAAAATTCATAAAAAGGTGGGTGGGAAGATAAGACATTGGGGTGAGAATAACACCTCTTTTCTTTAAATTCATGCACGACATTTCAGAGACATTGTGAGCCATGCTATGGTCGTAAAATTACTTGCTTTCACATTTACCACACCGTTGGGTTTTGAAAATTTATGTAATTTTTTTTTTTTTTTGATATTCTTGTGGATGGAGTCCCGTTTCGGCAATGTTTTGAGCCCCTCTGTTGTTTTTGTCCACCTATTTTTAAGTTTTTGGTTTAAATACTCTATTAAAAATACATTTGTGCCTCGATAAATGGTAAAACCGTTTTCATTTGCCTTATAAAGTTACTCTTACTCATGGGGGAAAATATAATACAAAATAAAAAACTTCCATCTTTCGCAAAAATTGAACGTGGGCTAACCATCATGGTTTCTAAGCAATTTTTCAAATTTGTACATAAATCGTCATAAAATCTACTTGTTTTCATCTTCACCTCACTGTTGGGTTGTAAAAAATCATGTATGATTTTTTGTTGATATCATTATGGATGGATTCCTGATTTGTCAATGTTTTGGGCCCCACTATAGTTTTTGTCTACTTATTTTTTAGTTGTCAGCGTAAATATTCTATTAAAAATACATTTGGGACTCAATAAATGGTAAAACCACTTTCAATTACCTTATAAAGTTACCCTTAATCATGACGGAAAATATTTTGCAAAAATAAAACATTTGCATTTTTCTCAAAAAATGTGGGTTAACCATCACAGTTTTTAGGCGATTTTGCAAATTTGTACAGAAATTGTCGTAAAATTTATGACCTTTCACTTTCATTGCACCATTGCACTTTGAAAATTCATGAAGACTTTTTGTTAATATTCTTATGGATAAATGTAAAACCGCTTTCATTGGCCTTATAAAAAAGGAAACTTTAACGAAAAGCACCCGGTACTGTTCACTTTAACGAAAAACCACATTTTTACACTAAAAAGTCAATCCTGGTACTATTCACTTTACCCTTTATTTTGTCCTTATCATTAAAACTCAAAGTTTTCAAGCCATTTTCATTAGTTTTCCTTATAAAATAACTTTGTTCAACTTTCACTGCACCTTTGGGTTTTGAAATGTCATTAAGCACCGTACGTATGTAAGACTTATGGTTGATATTCATGTGGATAGAGTCCCATCTTGGCAATGTTTTTGGCCACATTACTATTTTTGTCCCCTTATTTTCAAGTTTTTAGTATAAATACTTTATTAAAATACATTTGTGCCTCAATAAATGGTAAAACCATTTTCATTTGCCTTATAAAGTTAATCTTAAACATGGGGGATAATATTATACAATTTTTTTTTTCATTTTTCTCAACCAAAAAAAAAAAGAAGGGTAAATTACATAATACCCCCTCAGGTTTGAGGTCTATTACAACCTCATACAACATCTTTAAAACATTTCACTTTCATACCTCACGTACTATTTTATTTCAAAATAATACATTCGTTAAATTTTCCATCCATTGGTCTGTTAAATGCTGACATGGCTGCCACATTTGTGCTGATGTGGCTGCTATGTGGGAAAAATAATAATTTTTTTATACATTAAAAATATTATAATATTAACCCTATTAAAAAAAAAAACCAAAAAGACCCGAACCCCAATCCCTTTCCTTCCCCCTCACCTCTCTGCAACTCCCATTTACAAAAAGCCACAACCACCAACACCCTAATCGGAGCTGGCTCTCTTCTTCGTCGTTGACGGGAACCAAAGGCATACAATTTTTCAAGTTGTTGGCCGTGATTTTCTAGAACACCAATCCCTCCTTCGTAGGATTTGACGACGACGCCGTCGCCATCTCAGCCTCCTCTCTTTCTTTCTCTTTTGTGATGCGTCTATCTCAACCTCCCCAAGCAACTTGGTCGCGGCGTTGTTGCAGGCAAGGTATTAAATATCGATGATATCGGAAATATCGGTAGTCCAAAAACACGGAAATATCGGGATATTATCGATATCGATAAAAATAATATGGAAACCATTGTGAGTTGCATGATGGATTTAATTGATTTAAGTTGATTATATAGCGAGCTGGCAAACATTGTGAGTGTAGAAAATATGTAGTAATTAATGAAAGAAGTTTAAACACACCATAATCATTTATATATAATGAATTAGTACAATATTTTACACTTTATACATTGCATGGTAAGATACATGAGTGACTTAGTACCACATAGAGTTCCTATGAGGTTCAAAATTTTCACTATCTTCATCATCTCTATGTGTAGAGTGAGTGTATTGTGAAGAGTAGTCATCAAATGATAAATCCCCAAAATAGTTTTGCATGTAACTGTTAACATGCCACCCATATGGATCCGAGATTGGTTGACGTTGTCCATAAGCAAAATCATTTGAAGATTGAGT